GACAGTGCGGGTGTGTGTGTGGCAGGAACCCTCTACTCTTTTCCTGTAAACATGACCCTGGCCTGACCTGCCCCACTCAGAATTCACTTGTTGTAGAATTGTTTGTTTGATATTGATGTTTCCTCCCACCATGGCCAGGATTGGATCAGCTGGCCCCATGACAGTCAAATGGTCTATTCAACAAAGGATTAGAATCAGACGGGGGCCCCAGCCATCATATATCTAAGGCAAGAAAAGACGTGCATATTCCAGGGCACAGACAGATTCCTAACATACTCTTTCAGGCATATTCTTTCTGAGGCCACAGGGGCTTCCTGGGCTGAGGATTCTGGTGGCCAGTAGCTGTGGCTGGTCAGCTGCAATAGATACCTAGTAGGAGTGTCTACTGAGGCTGCTAATGCTTCCTGAACAAAACATTGTGAAGCAGACACTGAGCGCCCCCTACTGACCCTGTGCTCACAGAGGGTTTCTTCCATATCCCATCACAGTGCCTGGAGTGTGGTGTAAACTTGGGCTGTCCAAAATGATACCCTTTAGCTAGTGGCAATGGAAATATAAAATACACACACTTTTGAAAATTTAGAATAAAAGCATATTAAATATCTCATTGTTAATATTTTACATTAATTAAAATTTAAATAATATAATTTTGGTCATTTGAAGTTCAAGAAAACATATTATTAAAATTTATTTTGTACGTTTCTATGTTACTTTTAAAAGCATAGTTACTAAAGTACTTAAAATTGTGTATGCAGCTGGCCTTTGTGGCTCTCATTTCATTTCCATCTGACTACTGGTATAAATTCAATGAGCATGTGCAGAAGGAAAGGATGAGTGCACACAACTGCAGCACTTCTTCAGACTGCAGTGTTTTGCAGACCTAAGTGTCAATTTTCCTTTCTGAGAAGCTGATAGGAGCTAGTGGCAGGGACCCTAGCTGAGACCAGTGCAAACAAGCTGAGGAGGAGGAAGAGACGGGCATCCGGCAGGTAGACCTGCAGGGAAGCAGCTGGCTCCACAAGCACCAAAGATGAGTCACCCAGGAGGGGCAGGGACCAGAGACCTAGGCGCACAGAGAAATCAGCCAAGCAGACTTGACACTAGTTCTGATCTAGGTCAAACCTTCCTGTAACCAGTGTTGGGATCATCAACGCCCCAACTATGGTCTTGTGCAGCCGCCTTTCTCTCTGGGTTCAGGTTTCTCCGGATAGATTGATTCATTAAACATTCCATGGAATAAGCCAACCACACGAGGATGAGGGAGGCAGTTTTCTGCCCTCCTCCACTCACTTCTCTGGCCAGAGTTGAATTTCTTCAGTAGTCACTTAATATTCTTCCATACCCTCCCTCCCCTCCCTTCCTCCTCCCTCAGACTTTGAGGCCTGAGGTAAAGCCAGTTGTGGAGAGCCTCCTCTCCAGGAAGCTTCCCTTCTCTGGGGGACCCCGCCTTTCCCCAGTCAGGTTCCCTTCCTCTGCTTACCGCCCCACCCACACCCCAGAGCTGTAGAGCTTCCCCTCCCTTTCGTACCTTCTAGATTAACTTCTTGGGTTTCTTTTCTCCCCTGACACTCAAATGATGATTTTCTGCTTCTCCCTCTCCTCTTTAACCCACTCATGAGCACAGTCACAACCAGAGAACAAACTGTCCGGAAAGCAGAGAAGACAATTTTCTTAATCTCCCATTAGTCACTGTGTGCGGGGCTGTGGGACCAGAAACCTAGTGCACTTTCCAACCACAAAGTCCGAATATTTCCAATGAGTGATTTGGAGGTCAGGATTGGCCTGCTGTGGGTCAGCAGCCAATAGTATCCCTGAGCCAGCTTTCTCACCAGTTCTTAGGTAAAATACAGAAAGCCCCTTTAAGAATTCAAATCTCATAGTTGAGAATAGCCTTTTGAGAGGATCTGGCCTTTCTATTGCTTTTTCTATTTTCAGAAGCAACATACAATTCATTGTTTTTGTAAAACATTGAGATTCCCCACAGATTGTGGTTTTGCTGCCAACAAGGAGGAGAAGTCTCTGTGTGTAGAAGTGCATATGGAGTAGAGGATGGGGTTGGCGGGTGGGGAGGTGATGAGGGAAACATAAGCTACCCTCTTTCCAGAGACAGAGGAATCTCGTTCATATTTATCTGCTTGTGGCGGGCAGTGGAGACATAAGGGGGAACACAGGGAGAGGTTAGAGGGGTAGAGAATGAAGCAAGACAGCAGCTGCAGTAGTAGACTGTAGACCTTGTCATTCATTCAAAAACTATGGAGGGAGAGATGCTGAGGATAGTGAGAGGCAAAACCCCTTTCTCTCAGGAAGGTGGCATTCTCATAGGGGCAGGAAGATGGCAGCAAACAAAGACTTTCTTGTTGGTCTTCATCCTCTGCCAGTAGATGGACCTGTTGACTTCAACACCCCCCTACACCCACACAATGCTCCCCTCCCATGCCCCACAGACCCCAATCAGGCCACTGTATAGTCCTGAGACACATTTCTCACATCTCCCTCAAGAGCTTAAGTGCTTCCCCTGGGGGCTCCAATTCCTTTCTGATTCAACTCAAAACTGTGCAATTAGCACACTAGCAAAGGCTCCACAGTTTCCTCCCACAACTGGGTTGCTCTTGGAAAAGGACCAGAGGATGGGTGGTGAGAGTCTAAGAGCCTGGCCCACCTACAGCCTCTATCGGAAGAAAATAAGACCCAGGGGTTCTCTGGAAGTTTGTGCCAGAAGTACCCAGTGAAGCCAGGCCTAAAACCCCTGCGGTAGCTGACCTGAGTCAGAGGGAAGTACGTGTGTTCTCAGCATGAGGAGGACCCAATGCACATGAGACAGCTCAGCAGGAAACCAGCTCCAAGTGAAGTGTGCCACTTCAGATCATGACAACCTGACCCAAATCATTCTCTGAGCAGAGAGGAATAAACCTAGTGGGTGTGTTCTTTCCTTTGAGTCACCTCAAACTGTGGATTCCTTCCAGGTGAGGTTAAACATCTTGGTGCACAAAAGACATTCCTACTCTGTCTTGTTCAAATTTCAAATTATGGACTCATGGAATTAATGAGCATAGGAAAATTGTTGTGCTAAGCTTCTAATTTTCAGGGCTTTAGCAATAGTACCCAGTACATCTGCCTTGTCACAAGAGAACAAATTTCACAGAATATACAGCACGAATAAAACTGGGCCCCAAATTCACTGGAACCAAGGACAGGAAAGTTGCCCAAACTCTCTCCATCTTGAACCCTTCACTCTGCACATCTGCTTTGGTCTAATTCCTCTGTAGATCACCTTCCTTTTGCTTCTCTAGACCACACTGTGGATGGGAAATGCCTTCCTGCAGCTTTCATCCATGCCTGCTATTAAGCAGGTATAACTGGTTGCATATCACTGAGCCATTCAGTGAAAATATCCAAGATATTCCCTCTGGCTTAGTCTGGGTCAGGTGTCCATCCCAGGTCCAGTCCATGTCAGAGGGCAGAGGGGCCATGTTACATAGACATGTATTAGAAAGCAGAATGGCACACTGCTAAATGGATGGGGGTGGAGGGAGGGCAGACAGGTTTTAGCAGGCATTCAGTATATTCTCAGAGGCAGAACATTGTAAACAAATGCTGTTGATGCCCAACCCCATAGCCCTTTGGTCCGTGTCAGGTAGATAGTTTCCTTTAAGGTAACAATTTCCAGGTGCTTATTTTATTCTTCTCCCCCTGAGAGTTTTCTCCATCAGCAATGACATTTGCTCCTTTGCATATACCATGCCCAACCTGGAAGTTCAGGGGAGTTAACACCCAAGGGATAACCTTAATCCAATGGAGGATGGGAGATGTTTTGAAACAATGGCCCAGCCTCTCCATCACTGCTAGGTGGATTCTGAGGTATAGCCTACAATTTCACATGGTTTCTCAGAGTGTCCTGACCAGGACCGAGCCCAGTTGCCCTCAAGATAACCAACTAATTAACCTACCATCAATCCCATTTTTCAGTTAGTTGGCTCGTCTCCTTTTATTTTTTTATCAAACTTTAGTTTCCTGGGATCACTTCCCAAATAGACTACCTGAACCCAAGTCCTTGACTGAGAGTCAGATTTTGGGGAATCCAAACTAATGGATTCCCATTCAGCACACATTGTATCCAAGAGTGAGAATGATCTTTTCTGGAGAAGTACACTCTGACTATATACCCAAGTCTAGCAAGCAAATAAAGAGCTACAGGTAAAAGTACCAAAAATTCACAGAAATCTCCAATCATGGAGGCCACTTTTATATAAACGGGCCTAGCAGGATGGAGGCCTCCTCCTCCTTCAGAGTGAGGGAGGCTGCGACTGTGATAAGTGTAGTAGGCTAAATAGGCCACACCATCATCTCTGCAACATGTGAATATGATACATTACATGGCAAAAGGAATCTTACAGATGGAATTGAGGGTTTGGATGTTAAAGTAGGGAGATTATCTTGGAATCTCAGGAAAATTATCCTGGAGTATCTGAATGGACTCAGTCTAATCACATGAGTTCTTACCAGCAGAAGAATCAAACAGATTTAATGGAAGAAGCTGCAGGAGAGATTCAGACATTGAGAGGGACTCAAGCTGCCATTGCTGTTTTGAAGATGGAGGAAGAGGGCCACAAACCAAGGAAGGTGGCAGCCTCCAGAAGCTGAGAATAGCCCTCAGCTGACAGCAAGGAATGGCAACCTCATCCTATGACTGCAAGAAAATGAATTATGCCAACAGCGTATGAGCAAGTAAATAGATTCCTCCCTAGGGCCCCCAGACAGCACAAGGCCTGCAGACACCTTGATTTTAGCCCAGGGAGACCGATGTTGGACTTCTGACCTAAATAAATGTGAGATGATTTGTTTATGTTGTTTCAGGTCCCAAAATTTGTGGTAATTTAATATGAGATCAATAGAAAACTAATACGGGAAAGATTTTGTGAAAATGTTACAATGAAGTAAACTGTGACACTGTGGTGAGTAAACTGTAGGGGCTTAAAATCTAGAAAAGCTCAGTGGAAGACTGAAGATTATTAACAAATTTATTCACCAAATGTAACTTGACAACCACATGCCAGATAGCGGGGATACAATGGTGAACAATAACAGTGATGATAATGAAAAGAAGCCTTCCTCCAGCATCCATCAGTTGACAGGAACATCCATTAACATCAATAAGTGATCAGGGGTGGAAATTTCTCTTTCCTGGAGAAGCATTCTACAGTGTGGTAGAAATACCACTAAAGTTCATCTAACTGCCTTCCTCCCAAATTCCTATCCCACACACAATCTTTAGGTGTTAAGGTAGGCTTCCTGGAGAACTTTTTAGCAGGAGGATTGGTTCTGGCTCCATGATCATGCATCACATTGAGAGAGTGGGTACACATGTGCCCATTATTAGTTAAGAGTTTGGCCTCTAGTCCCTTCACATCCTGTATGATGTGGTCCCTGTGAATTCATTCTCTGGACCACGTCACCTTTCAGACAATCCAGTGAAGTGCTGGACCTATGGCTCTGACAATCCACCTTGAAGGAATCAAGTGGGGTGTGGCCTCTGTAGTCACCTACAATGATCCTTAACATGCGGTGTCATGGAAAGGGAACCTCAGGGATGCACATGTTTCCCTCACCATGGGGGCAATAGGGCTAGAAAGGAACAACAGGCTTGGTGGTGGGGTGGGAGAAGGGCCTAACCTTTCCTAGCAGCACAGCTTTCTATATGAATTACGTGAGTTACTTAACTTGGCCCTGCCTCAGTTTCCACATTCTCAAAATGAGACTACTTCATGGGGTTGTTGTGAGAATTAAATGAGTGAAATTCACTTAAAGCATTTAGCACAGCACCAAGCACATGTTTTATCTGTAAATGTCAGATATTGTTGTTCAAATTCCAGCTGTCATTCACTTGCTGAATCAGCTTTAGAAAATTAATCAATTTTCTGTACCCCCATTTCCTTATCTATATAACGGAGACAATAAAGTGGCATCAAACTCTACTGTCATATGGCATAAGGAATTAATATTAGTGAAGTGCTTCACACAGTGTGGGAATTTAGTAAGTATTTTATTGTTGTGATGTGTTGCTGTTAAGGAGGAGGCCCTCAGCTCCAGGCTGGGCAGGGGAAACAAGGATGTTACTTTAGCCTGAGGGTCCCCAATCCCAACAGCAGGGCCCAGGGTCACTGGGGTATCCAGGGAAAGGTCAGACCTTAAGTCATTGACAGGGGAACTCCCTACTCATGTCGGTGCTGGGAAAATGGTCAAGGGGGTGTCATCCCATCCGAGAAGTCTGAAAATAGGGTACAGAGGCCCGGAGAATGAGGTGTGTGGGAAGGTGTAGATATGAGATCCATCCTTGGCATTGTAGAATGAGATCTCACCAGTCTCATAGTCCAGGAAAATCCCCACTTTTTGAGGAGGATTGAGAATTTCCAGTTTGGTCAAAGGGTCAGTGAGAGCTTGATATTCATTCATATCTGACAGCCCTATAATCCAGAATCCATTCTTGGGTGCCATAGAAACCTGTTTTTTCCTCTCCACGTTCTCCCTACACACCCCAACATACCACCCTTTCCTGACCCCCACATCCACCTCCCAGAAATGTCTCCCTGACATGAAGCTCTTGCAGCCAAGCACAGAGTTACGCGTATTAAATCTCTTAGGATTGTCGGGCAGATTTTGTTCACTGTCTGCCAACTTCAGGATCTTCCGGTCTTCAGAAATAAGGAGGATGTGGTTTGCTGTGTCAGGATCCAGAATCACATCCGCTGCAGAAAGTTTGGGGATGGACCATGAGGTCAGTCATTGTTCCCAGACCTCAGAGCCTCAGCCTTCAAGACCTGGGTGTGACTGAGGAGGTCTAAGTACAGACCCAGATGTCCCCAGCCTGCCCTGAATATGACACTTTCAGCAACACCAAAAAAAGGCCCAGGAATCCTAGCTCAGTGGGAAAGAGTGCTGCTTAACCTGACATCTCCATTTGGCTCCCTTCTTACATCTTTTTCTTACTTTCCTCCCCAAAATGACTATGCCCACCTGTTGTTTGTATGCACATAGATTTACATTTCAGTCGTTGCTCTATCACTCATGAGCTGAATGACTTTTCTTCTTATGCTGTCTCTTTTCTCCATAGTTTCAAGCTATACAATATCTTTGAGCCTCAATTTCCTTACCTGAAAAATGGGGATAAAAATACTAATCAGTAGGGTAGAAAAAAGACAATACATGTTTTATAGTAGCCCAGGGCCAGGCATGGAGGAAGTTCCTGATGGTATAATAACTCCATGCCTTTTCTGTGCTAGAGGCCATGTTGGGGGCTTTCTGTGCTCCCAGATGCACTCTCCTCCTTTCTCTACCCTCTTCTGGGCCCCAGGAATCTGTCCTTTATGAACAACATCACTGGGCTCCCTTGCCTCTGGTTACCTGTTGGGTTTGGCCAATGGAGGTATTAGCAGAATACTGTGAGGAGAAAGAAAAGACAGGCACAGCATTTATTTCCCCCACTTCCTCCCTGCCAACGTCAGATAGTGATGCTCTCACAAAGGCATGACTCCTCTCAGGCAGCCTGTCCTCGAGCTACAGCTTCCTTGGGCTCCAGTAACTGCTCCCTCTCCCTATTCCTTCAAGCCTAGGGTGGTGACAGCTCCCCACTATTGTGAGCCCTGGGGCACTTCACCCTACCTTGTTGGTTTCCCTTAACCCCAATCCCAGCTTAGTAAACAATTCCTCTTCTAAACCTTCTTCAACCACCCAGATTGAACATGCCATCTCTTTCTTGTTGGCTTTTGACCAATACACATTAATTACCTCATTTAGTCTTTACCTCAACTCTCACATAATAAGAATTATAATCACCACTTAAAAAATGAAGAAACTAAAGTACAGAAACATTAAGTAACTTGGGGACACACAGCAGCAGGAAGTGGCATAAGAAGCTTGGGAAAAGCAAAGATCTTTGTGCTTTGCCGTCTCTCCTTGGTCATTCCACATCCTCACTGTCCCTGCAGTGTTGGTTCACTCTGCCTCTCCTTCCCTCAGTCTACCCTTTATGCCTCTTCCTTCCCAAAAAGATCTGTGGATCCCAGGAGAGCAATCTTCCCTGGCTCCCTGGGCTCTCAGCAGGAAGCCCCTGGAGATTGGGCATACCTTTGAGACCAGGACCTCAAGTCACCCACTTGGAACTCTCCCAGTCATGGAGACTTTTCCTCCCAGAATCTCAAGAGTTGGAGAAGAAAAAGGGAGATTATGGTCCCTCAGGTTGTTGTCCTAGGGAATACACAGGGATTCACTCACCAGGTTGGAAGAGGGCCGTCTTCCATTCTGAAAGGCAGGAAATGTAGATAAAGAAAGGGCATTATTTCTGTTCTTGCCCCATTCCTTCTCCTCACTAAGCCTTTTCTCCCTCATTTTCTTCAGTCTCTTGCAATGTCCAGCTTCTTTCATCTGTACCTCTGCCAGATCAGCCATACAATCTCTCAAAAATGGTGGACTTCCTTCCCTCCATCATACTGGGGCTGCAGGTGACATGGCCAGCCTTTGCTAGGGTGTGAGCATGTGTACCAGCAGGTTGTATCTGGAAGGTCCTCTGTGGCTCCAGAAAAGCAGTGTTGGTATTCCCCATAGAAAAGGAGCCTCTGGACTAGATCTGATTATTCCTTCAGGGAATGCCAATGGGTCACACAGCAGAGAAATGGTTTACATGCTTAGTGCACATTGTCCATGAAACTCAGAGAACATCAGGGTCACTCACCAGCATAGGCCTGAGACTTCTCTCTACCTACAATGAAGAAAGGTAGAGATGTCACCCGAACAATGTCATTTCTGGGTTATTTCCTTTCTGTTCTTTTGCATCCATCTAATCATTCATTTTGGCTCACATCCCCACCCTTCCTACCTTCTCCCTCTGCCTGTTCAATTCTCTCCTCGCCTCCTAAATATCAAGTCTGAAAACATCAATTGCATGCTGATAATACCACAGGTACCATGTTAGTGCTTTCCCAGTTGAGGCCTGGCAGATCTATTTTGTATGTGTCTACACTCCCATTCATGGGCATAGGTGTTGCTGTGTGTACATGTGACTGTATATGTGCACTGGAATCCATCTATCTCAAGCTGTATTATGTCCTGCATACTTCTGAAAAGAATTGAGCAACTTAATGAAGAAATTTCTGATACTGTTTTTTTAAAAGCAGTTCTAATAAACCTATGAGAACTGAGCCACTGTGACCATTCCTTTTTTAAAATGCGCTTTTCTCTCTCCTTCTCCTTTGATTTTCTCATTCATTTAAATCTTACATTCTTTGTTTTCTTCTCAGCAGCCTATGGATTATGTAAAGCAATTAGGGAGGTTCCCAGCATAGGGAAGGCACTACATCTAGAGAGTTCCATCTCCATCCTCTTTTCCTTTGCAGTGCACTCCTGGATATTCTGAGGTGCCTGCTGGACTGAAGAGTCTGTGGTCCCATCCTGGAGAGAGATTGAGGCTCTTTCCTCCATTAAAAAAACAAGACTTGCCTGTGCTACCCTCTGAACGCCACCCTTCTTTCTTCCCATCCCTGAATGGGTCAGGGATATTTCTCAGCCCTGGGCAGTTTTAGAGGCAAGCACAAAGGCTGGGACATATCCCAGTAGACAGTGTTAGATGGGAATTCAGAGAAAGTGTCAGCGCCACTCACCAGCCATCAGCAGGAACTCTCTCTTCTCTGCAACAGAAGAAATGTCAAGAGTCATTAAGACACTTACAGCAGGGGTACCAAGACATGTGTGGGTCCCTGGAGAATTGGAACTTACTGAATTCTTGCAGGAGCTTCTCTGGAAAATAAGCAGAAAAAAAAATATGCTGTTATGGTGATGGAGCGGAGAGGACCTCTGGAGCATAAACCTTCCTAATGACACAAAGCAGAAGTGGGTATGTGGGGTGGGGAGGGGGTGATGTCCTTGGGCTCCCTCCCCTAAGCCAGGGCCTTAGGTTACCTCCCTGGTCAGATACCTCTTGCACTTCGTTTCTGTTTCTTTTCTGCCAGTGCTGTTTGTGTTTCTGCACTCTTTCTCTCTTTCTCCTGGAATAGAGCCTTTGTCTCCTGGAATAGAGCCTCTATCTCCTGGGATAGAGCCTCTTTCTCCTGCGATAGAGCCTCTTTCTCCTTCTTTTGTCGCCACAGGAAGTAAACAGCCCCTGCGAGAAGCAGCAGCAAGACAGGCAGGGTCCCAGCGAAGGCTGCTATCCAGGGCTGGGCTCTCCAGAAGAAGGGGTCTGCAATGGAATGGAGCTTTAGCCTCTCACCTCCAGGGTGGGGATCACAGAGTTGATCTCATGACATTAAATGATCCTTCTCCTCCTAAAGTCTCAGGGAACTTTGGGTAAGACTTCAGTAAACTCTTACAATAACATAATGCTATTACTTGCTTTGAACTGTCTGCTGCACACTTGTGAATATGAGTTAGTTGAACATGAAAATCATACTTTTTTCTAATTTAATTTTCCAATAGGTTACATTTACATGAAATACAAAATACAAAAAAAATATATAAAAAGTTGTCTAGTCTCCCATCCACTCCCTCCTCCCTCCCCCCATTTATTAGCCTCTCATCAGTCAGCTTAATATGGTGGTTAAGAATGTGAACTTTGGGGCCGGCCCGGTGGTGCAGTAGTTAAGTGTGCACGTTCCGGTTCAGCAGCCCGGGATTCACAGTTTCTGATCCCTGGTGCGGACATGGCACTGCTTGGCAAAAGCCATGCTGTGGTAGGCGTCCCACATATAAAGTAGAGGAAGATGGGCATGGATGTTAGCTCAGGGCCAGTCTTCCTCAGCAAAAAGAGAAGGATTGGCGGGAGTTGGCTCAGGGCTAATCTGCCTCAAAAAAAAAAAAAGAATGTGAACTTTGGAGCTGGAGGGCCTGCATTCAAATTCTGGGTCCTCCACTTGATAGGCAGTATGATCTTGGATCTTGGACTAATTACTTAACTTCTCTGTTCCTGGTGTCCTAATCTGTAACATGGGGTAACAACAGCACCTAATTCATAAGGTTAAAAGATTAAAATAATGCTTACAAAATGCCTGACACATAGTCAATGCTATGCAAGTGTGTATTAAGTTTTAAAAATATAAATATCTTTTTATTTTTTTCTCTTTTACACCTAAGATAGAATTCTATACAATGTGCTCTGCATCTGGCTTTTTCTGTTCATCTTGGAGATCCTGCAAAATTAATACAGAAAGAATGTCTGTGTTTTCTTTCATAGCTGTGCAATATTCCATTTCATAAAAGTTCCCTGTTGATGGATATTTGCACAGTTTCTAATTTTTTGCTATTACAATTAATGCTGTAAGAAATAAACTTTTGCATGTGTCATTTCATACAAATTCAAGTCTGTCTGTCAGATAAATTTCCAGAAGTGGGATTTTTGGGTCAATAAATAAGTAGTTTGGATAAATTCTGCTATATTACCCCCAGTAGAAGCTGGCCAATTTAGACCAAAAATATATCAACAAATATCTAAGAGTGACTGTCTCCCGATAATCCTGCCATCAGAACGTATGACCCGCCACCTCAGGTTTTTTGTTTTATTTTTGGCCAGTGGAAAATGTTTATTTCTACTTCTTCTTCTTCTTCTTTTATTTTTGGTGAGGAAGATTGTCCCTGAACTAACATCTGCGCCAATCTTCCTCTATTTTGTGTGTGGGGTGCTGCCACAGCATGGCTTAATGAGTGGTGTGTAGGTCTGTGCCCAGCATCTGAACCTGGGAACCTGGGGTCACCAAGGCAGAGAACATGAGCTTAACCACTACACCACTGGGCCAGCCCCTGGAAAATGTTTTAGTACACATGCCTCTATTGAGTGAGATTGGACATCGTCTCTCATGTATTATTTCCTTTTCTGTGAACTTTGTTCATTTTTCTACCGGGTTGTTTTATATTTTAAGCAGATTAGCACTTTCTCTAAGATGTTAATAGCACATATTTTTTCTGCGTTTTGTCATTTGTTTGCTTAAGGGTCTGATCTTTACCATTTTCCCCCAATTCCCACTTCCTGTCACAGTTTCTGACACACAGGAAATACTCATGAAGAATTTGTAACATAAACAGCTTTATGGGGGAATGAAACATTCCCAGAGATAGAAGAAGGCTCTGGATCCTGCTCTGTGCCTTATATTCACTGCAGAGACCCGAGTCAGCAACAGAGAATCACACATCCTCCTTCTTTCAGTGGCCACAGCTCAGCACAGTACACCTGAGGCTCAGCAGGGTACTGACCTGCAATGGAAATCCCAGTGGTCTTTTCCTGATTGAGGAGGGGATTTCTGATGAGACAGGAAACTCCTTCCCCAGAGCTGCCTTTCACGATCACAGATGCTGTGACTGCATACAGGCCATCTCCGTCTTCAACCAAAGGTGCTGCCACAGCTGGCATGACCTCTCCCTTGGCATCTCTCCACTGTATTTGGGGCTGAGGATACCAGCCAGTAGACATGCACTCCAGATGGATCCCTCCACCCTCATAACCCTTCATTTCAATGTGAGGGTCAGAACCCAGCTCTGTGGAAAGATAAATGAGTCTGATTTTTTCTGAGCCTACTGTATCAATTAGAGGCCCAAAAGGAATTGGATGGCGCATTCTCATTAGATAATTCTTGAGGGGTTTCATCAAGCAGCTGTTTACAAATGCATGGTGGTGGTGAGGGGAAAACTACACAAGATAGAGCAATGCCCCATGGCCAGGAACAGTGGAGCTGTTACCACCCACCCCTGAACGCAAACAGGGGTGGAGAGGAAGCTGTCCTGAAGACCTACAAGAAGAGAGTCCAGTAGAGAGGGCTTTCTTAAGAGGAGCTATGATCTTCGGGAAAGGAATGCAGCCAGCTAGATGTGGTCCTGTGGGGAGAAAGCCAGGGGAATAAGTACCTTGACCTCTCTCTCCTCTCTCCCTCCTTCCACCTTCTGCTATGGCTCCCATTGACCAAACCCAGTCAGAAACTATAGGGCAAGAGAGTGCCCTGAGAAAGAGAAGTGCAACCCTCGACATCTGGACATTGACCTGCACTCTGTGTTCTCCTGTTGAACATAAGCAGTTTCATGGAACATCAACATCAGATAAGAGCACTTTGTCACTATGATCGGTCAAGACAAAGACAAGATCATTCAGCAATTCTGTTTGAACATAGAGAAAATCATGAACACTGTCCAAACCACAATCATAACCCATAGGAGCATGCACCTGGAGGGACCACAGAAGCTATCTAGAACACAATTGAACCCAAACAAATGTGTGCCATCACTAAGGAGATATTTTCTTATTCTTCCAGTCCCCGACCTTCCACTTCCCTGTTTAGGACCTGGTGGCCAGCATGGCAGACTTTTTACTTGATAGTTAGAGTACAGGAGTGATTCTTCCTAGAGGAAGCACTGTGTCTTTCCCAAGGGTTTCAGAGAAACAAAGAGGGAAGGCAGTGGAGACTGATACCAGTGACTAGTCAGGATGCTCTGAGGTGGATTTGGAGCATGAAATATTCATCTGCCCCCCTCAGAACCACAGAGGAACGAGCTCAGAACAAAACCTGGAGGCTCACCTGCAACCTCCAGCTCCACCATGGCTTTTTCATAGAAGTTGTCGCCTTGGAAATAACACAGGTAGTTTCCAGTGTCAGAGGGTCTGACGTTGTAAATTCGGAGAGTAGATGTCCCTTCAGTGATGCCATCTCTTAAAATCGAAGTTCTCCCTCGATACTCTGCCATCTGTTGGTCTTCTATTTCCTTTCCATTTGCATACTCATATACTACCTCCCTAAGGTTGGGTCTCACCCACAACAGCTCCATGCTCTCTGCGCTCATCTTGGGGGACACGTGACAGGACAGATCAACGTCTTCACCCACCATGGCCAGGATGGGTTCAGGGGGTCCAATCACAGCAAACTGAGCTGGTCATTAAAAGGAGAAACTCCATCAGAGATACTTGGACCATGAGGGTAATGGAGGTGGGCCTCAGGTAGAGAGGGTGAGGTACAAAAAACCCAGAGAAAAACAGGATCCTAACAGAAGTATAATTTGTCTTAATGACATGCACACCTTCTGTTTTGGATGGGACTTCCAGGTACGAGAAGTTGTCTGAGGTTCTGACTGGGCACTAATAGGTAATTGTCTGCTTCAGAAACATACAAGTAGAATGCTCCCTACCTGAGCAAGGGGTAAGCAGCTGGACCAAGAGGAGGCAGACAAGGAGAACGAGCAGAGGGATGTCTAGGGAACTTGCCATTTTCATCTGTGCTGCAGAGAAATGCCAGACAGAGTCAGGCAAAAACTATGACTTGGAAGATGACAAATTCCACATCAAACCTCCACCTCCCCAGGGTCGACTCAGGGTGAAACACACAGTCACTAGTGTGGTGACTCAAGATCCTCCTCTGCCAAAATGTCTGCTTGGGAATCTCTTAACCTTTGAGCTCAACATGAAAATCATCCATGAAAACATGGAATGTTAAGTGTACATACATTTAACATATAAATGTTACGTATGTAGGGTTGAATTTACATATATTATCCCTAATCCATCAGGAAATCCTTGGCTGTACTGTCCAAATATGTTCAGAATCCTTCCACTTTCCCACACTTCCCCTGCTACATCCAGGTCTAAGCCTCCACCATCACACTCTGATTAATGCAGGACCCTCCTCTCTGGGTCCCCTGATTCCACTTGCGTCCCATACAGTCTATGCTTAAAACAACAGCCAGAACATTCTTTGAGTCACATCACGTCAGTGCTCTGCTCAGCACCTTCCATAACTCCCGTTTCACTCAGAGTAGATGCTGAAGTCCTCACAATGGCCAGCATGGCCCTCCAGGACTTGCATCTCTCACTTCATCTCCCCTACTATCCTTGTCTGTTCCAGCCACACTGCCCTTCTTGCTGGTGCGTGAATTGACCAGGACAGAGGACCTCGGCCCTCACTCTTCCCTCTACCTGGAACCCTCTTCCCTCAGATATCCACAAAACTCACTCCCTCACCTCCTTCAACTCTTTCATCTAAAATTGGTTCCTCTGAGACCTTCTCTGACCACAGGATTATGGCAAACTGCTCCCATCCCCCTGAGCCTGCTCTCTTTTCCCCATTGAATTTTTATAATCTAACATATCATGTGTTTGCTATCTGTTTCCACCTGCTGGAATGGAAGCTCCACATGAAAGGATATTGATCAATTTTGTTTCCTGATGTGTAACAACCCTGTAGAACAGTGTGTGGTTCACATGAGACTCTCAATAATATTTACTGAATGAGTGAATGGATGAGGGGTAATATATTAACCCATTAATACTCCCTAGCATTTTAAATAGGTTAAAATGATCAGATTAAATGGTTGTCATCCAACAGGAGGGGAGGTGGAGTCTTGCGAAGACAAGTGTCTGCTGTTATAATGACATGCTGTTTTGGTCTGGCTTAGGGAGCAGTGCGCAGCGTCATATGCTGCCACTGGGACTTGCCTATATTAATGTATTTATTCCTATTTTTCAATGAAGTGGTTTCAAGGAGCAAGTATGTCCTGGATATGCATGTAAGAGTGTTACTACTCAGTGTGCCTTAGTGAACTCTTTCCGCAATTGCTCTTTGGAGAAGAAATATCTCTGAGAAGGAAATTATTCATTTCCTGTCTTCCCTTTCCCCAGGTGTTCCTTAACTGATGGCCTCTGGGCTCACCAGCAATGGATAAGTTCCCTGGTCTTATTCTTTCCACTGCTAGAGAAATATGAAGCAGAGATATAAGAGCTGGCATTTGCAAAGAAAGGGCAAATATGTCAGGCCAGGAGCATACAGCAGCCCAACAAAGTCATACCTCTATGAAGTGCTGGGGTTCTCATAGCTCAGAGGCAGGGCCCCTGTAACTCCCCACACCCTGCCCAGTGCTACCAACTGTATCTTGGCTCAGAAAGCACCTCTACCATCTTTCAGGCATGGTCTGTGGCATCACTGTGAACATTTGTGATAAGGGAAGTGTGGAGCCCTTGCCAGCTGGCAAGGCTGGATTCTAGCTGGAGTTCTAGCTTGGCTTCCATCCTAACATCCCCAGACTTGGCTGCATCCCTAGATAGTGGAGAGCCTGAGAGTAGGCCGAGGTGGATAACTCAGAGACAGGAATGAGATCTTCGAACATAGTCCCTCCCTTCTCCCTGGTTTTCTCCCATCATGTATCCTCTCCTTCCCTGAAGACGTCAGGTGGAACGGGATGCTGACAAATGACTTGAGGGTGTGCCCTTCTCTGGAGCAACACTGTGGACTCCTCTAAGCCTCAACCCATGGCCGTCACTAAGTTCAAATCAGGACTCCATAAGACTCTGGTCAAGATCCAATGAGACTCCTTGGTGGAGGCTCTGGAGTCAGTCAGAGGCTGAACCCACCACTTCTAAATCTCAAAGCTAGTGAACAATTAATAAGTGTTACAAATAATTATAGTGACTGTAACATATTACTTTTTCAGAAAATAACAACTCCTCCAAAACAAACCAGCATGAGGTCCCCAGTCATGGTACCTGCAAATCTGGGAACTTCCTGGGGAACAAGGGAACAGAAGTCTGTGCAGCTGGCACTCCTTCAGACCCTGGTCTGAAACCTGGACGGAACCCCAGACAAAATATTGCCTTTGAGTACATCCTGTCCTCTTCAAACTGTTGTCTATGCTGCTAGAGAGAGGACAAGAGTACTATTATTATTACAGGTACAATTACTCTGTTGTCCTCAGAGTGGGTAATACACTTTATTTTTTAGGATATTTATTGCTTTTTGGTCCTAATTATAAATCTATTTATAATGGAGAAAAATGTAAAATAACAAAAGTTAAATAATATGTAATGGTAATCATATACTTCATATCATAAGAATGCAAATGTTTCTGGAAGTATTTTGGCTGTATATAAATACCAAGTACCTTGGAAATGTTTCATCCTTTGACCCAGAAATTCCTCTTGTAGGAATTACTCTTAAAGTGGGAAAATAAGGTGTTAACACAATGATTTATGTTGAAGGCTGTTCATCAAAGTAAAATCTACAATAGCAAAATGTAGATACAATTTAGATATCCAAAGTGGATTAAGTTTTGTTACAATTACAAATAAAAGCTCTTTATTAAAATTATACAATTACAAATAAAATGCTCTTTATTAAAAGAGCTAATGACTTTATGGAAATCCCTTCATGATTGGACACTGTGTCATTTAGCCATCCTCCAACAGTTATATATGCATACGTATGTTGTATATGGAGGTTGGTTAGGAGTTTTCTATATTACAAATAATTCTGTAAGGAACGTCTTTACATATAAATCTTTAGGACACATCTTGTTTTAAAATCTCTTAAAAATACATTCCCAGAGCTGACCAAGAGAGATTCTAAGAGTCTATTTTTCCTTTCTGACCACAGTAAGTTCCTAAGAAAACGTAGTTGGCAAATTTCTTCATTCAGGTTGTCTCTCTCCCACCAAATTTCCCAGTGCAGGTCCCTACATTTTGCACTGCCTCCTGCCCACACCCCCATCTCCTCACCACACAGACAAGCACCAACCCCCTTTCTCTTGGTGAGGACTTCCCTGCACTCACTCTCAGCATTTTAGCCTCTCTCCTTCCAGGGCCTGTGGCCCTGGCTTTTACCAATTTCCCCCACTTACCCTATGGCATTCCCATCTGAAAATCACAGCCCACGGAATGAAGGGAATTAATAATTCTGCATTATAGTTAACATGCTCCTCTGGAAGAAAGGGAAGAGAAAGAAAGGCTTCTCACTGTGAGAAACAGTAACAGAGTCCCTCTTTGGAAGAATTAGTTTTGATTGGCTCAGAGAGGTGTTTCTCATCAGTTGCTGGGCAGACAATAGTAAGGAACATAGAATGAAAACTGAAACTGTATCGGACTGTACAGATGAAGAAAAATTCCAGCCCTAATCCCCTCAATGTTTGTGTCTCTCTGTGTTTACCTATTTGAATCATTCATGTGTACGTTTGTGTGTAATCAGGATTTCATTATCTACACCTGTTTTATGTCTTTTATACCATAATAGATTATCAGCATAACTAAGCAGAAAAATTATAAGATTTTAATGTGAGAAGAAAGGAAGATGAGCATTAATTAAAATGTTTCTGTGGTCATTTGCTGACATCTGTGCACATGTAGATGGGCACATGGAGCAGGATGTCTTTTAAAAGAGAGCCAAATGGAAGTATAAACAGACAGAAAACCAGATCCACTCCACCTTTTCAGCACCTGTGAAACTCTAGTCTCAGATCCATGAGCAAATCATGTAATTCTCAGGTGTCCAGAGGCAGTGCTGCCAGGGACTGATGGGCGTGTCTTATATTTTTCAGAATTTTCTTATTTGGAGTGTTGCTGAGCAGCTTCCTTCACCCTCTGCGCCTTATTTATGCTACCTTTGTATTTTTGTTACTGGAACCAAAGGGGGTTCCCTCCTGGCAAGTTAAATCAGACTCTTCCCCAGAAGTAGTTGTCTCACAAAGGTATATTTGTAGCAAATAGCAGACCATGTGGAATCATTTCCAGAATCATGGCATCCCCGGACAAAGAGAAGCAGGGACTTTTTATTTCAGATGGTGAATAAATATTCAAAAGGGAGAAGTGGGTATTTGCTTGCACAGACTCAGTTGGAAAACAAGCTTCCACATACACTTCAGGGATGGTAATAAGGCCTAAGCTCCTCCTGGAGAGATTGCCAGGAGCCGTGGCTACATCATTTGATGGGCTGTTTGACAGGGTCCCGCTGATTAACGCCGAGGGGTGCAGGGTCGCCCCTTGCTGAAGAATAACCGGCCGGCCCCTCACATAGTTCTGAAACCTGTGCTGCTTCTAATTGCCCTTCATTCCTTTTCTCTTCTTAACCTCCAGCCTCCTTTGGGTGGCTGCTTGGGAGGCACTACCTCCCGGGAAAATTAGGTATAGTAAGAGAACGTGACCACCTGCAGGTAACTTTCAAGATATTTTTCTGAGAGCTAATTTCATTTGATGCAGTTAATTAATGGAGGGGCACACAGTCCCTTTTGAGACAAGCAGAAAAGAATCCTGCCCAGATAAGATGTCGAGTTAGGTTTATGGCCTCTGTCTGGTTAATGTTTCCTTCTCCCTCCACTTCTTTGTCTAAATATATATATGCATCGTCCTTCCAAGTTTGCTGGTTAATTGGATGATCAAGAAGTATCTATATGTTATTCTTGACCTTCTGCTTTCTGTTAAAATGGTATAGAGGTTTTCTCCTAAAAGCAATAAATAATAAATAATTGCTGAGTAGAAGGGCCGAGGGGTGCAGGGATGCCCCTCGGTGAAGAATGGCCGGCTGACATCCCTGATATTTTCTGAATTATATGCATGCTTTCTATCAAGGTTATGTCTATGCTTATTTCTGTTTTTTATTCTTGTAGATATATAGTTTAGCTTAGCTTTTCAGCCCTTTACTTTACTAACAAAATGATATTTTCTCCGGGCAGTGTGCTTAAGGGACTGTTAGCTCTGCAACCTAAAAGACAAAGAAATGCTTTCACGCCCTAAGGGGCGCGGGAATGTAAAGATGTTTAACTACCCGCTGAGAACGCAAATAGCCCTGGGGATAAGATACCCTGGAGTTGCCTTTTGTTCCCACTAACCATCTACACTAATGGCATAAATGATTGAGGGAGGCAGGGATGGCTCCCCCAGGATGTAAACAGATGGAATGCTGTCCTGTCCGGAGGCCTGGACCTTCTCTCTTTGATTTAACTTTACCATGAATTACAACAGATGTCTAGGTACCTATCTCTTTTAGCTTAGAGACAAGAAACACTAGTTAATTGTGGAGAAGACTACCATTAACCTTATGCTCTATAGAATAGAATGCTAATAAATATTCTTGTGCTCGTTTTTTTACTTCCTTATCTCTCTGAGAATATTTGTAGAGCTATTTCTGTACTAATCCTGAAAAATATGAAAACGACACTTGTGCTCAGTAAAGTTGCACTTGCTAACATCAACCCAAGTCTCACGTCCTCTTCATTTCCCTCATTGCGCTGATGCCGTCCATCCCTCAGGAACCTGGACTCAGCAGGGGCGGGACTCGGGCAAGAGATCTTAGCATTAAAAATAAGGCAAAGGTCATAGGCCAGCTCCTGTGGTGAGGCTTAGTCTGTTTAGGGTAGTTCGTGATAGTATCTTCTTAACATAACAAAAGGGGAAAAAAACAATTTGGAAAAACCCACCCTGAGTTCCTTGGGGCAACTAGTCTGTAACATTTTCATGTGTATTTGTTTCTACTCTGCCCACAGGATTCTTTACTCTCTGAGGCCAGATTCTGAATAGTCTGTGAAGGCTATTTCTATAAGGTATCTTTGGGACTAACTGGTCTTGCCTGTGGCCTCCCAAGATACTTTATTAAATCTCCTAAGGTTTTGATGTGACCTTGGCTGATGGAATTTGATTACATTCCAACAGTTTGAATTTAAGCTACATGGTAGACATGGCTTGTTGCTTCTGCAATATCTAGTCCCTGTTTCTTCTTAGCAATCAAACCCAATTTGGGGGGGATCCTGCACGTGCCCATCCCCCTTATAGATGGGAGAGACCAAGGACTAAGTTTGAACCAGTGATTTGTAGGTGGGAGTAGGTGGGTATGTTTCTCAAGAGAGGTTCATATTCTTCCTACTTCCTCCTTCCTTTTGCCTAGAATATGGTCCTTGGAGCTGGAGTGAGTGACCATCTCATGACCATGAGGCAACCTTGAGAATGGAAGCTACATGCTGAGATGGCAGAGAATAAAGACAGAAGGAGGCTGGGTCATGCAGATCAGCTCTGGACTGCTGCCCTCTGAATTCATTTTACGTGAGAGGGAAAACAACCCTTGTTTTGTTTAAGCCAGTGGTACTTCTGGCCTCTGTTATCAGCAGGAAAATACAATTCTTCCCTACCCACCCCTCACTATCAACAGTCTATCATGAAACCTTTGAACCATAGAGCCATGTTGAAAGACTGTTTCAATGAAAATCAAATATACTTACTATCTAGATTAAGCAGTGAACATTTTACTATACTTGCTTTATTGTAATCAATCCTTCTGTTCCTGCCCAATGCATCCTTATTTATTTATGTATTTCAATCCTTATTTATTTATTTGGTGCCTTTTAAAGTAAGTTGCAAACATGAATGTACTTTCCCCTGGATACTTCAGCACACCTATCAAGTAAAAGAACATAGTTCTGAAATGTTAAGGTATCAATGCTGTGTTTGAAACCCAAATGTAGAGGGCCTTTCAGTTACGTGTTCTAAAATGAGCAGTGGGGTATATCTATCTGGGTATCTCTAGCTCCTAAATGCCTCGCTATCCCCAAAGATATTAACAGTCTGACCCCAGGTAACTGGCCACTCCTGGTAAGAGTCAGGCTCCTTCCAGGAGGCTGTGTAAGCAGGAGGTTCCAGGACTGCCTCTCAGGAACAGCTTGAGATAGGGACAAGCACTGCCTCAGGGTCCTTCTGTCCATCCCCTGGCATCTGCTGAGAGAAGTGTTCTCTTCTTCACTGATACCACAAGAAGGAAATCAATGTTCCGGAGGACCTCTGGGATGTAGGGCTCACAAATCGCTTGAAGAACAGGCATAAAATCCTTCTGAAGGAAGCTGAGGAGAAGTATGGGATCAAGTTCAGAGACAAAATAAAATAAGAAAGTGGGCATTATATTACAGAGGGGTGGGAATGTAGAAGTTAGCTCAGAATGTAACACTCTTTCTTGCCGGTCATCAGGTTGACATTACAGACATATGTGATAAAGTCAATTACATAGTTAACCAAATCTATATTTTTCCAAAGGTCATGCTGCAGCTGCAAAGGAGCAAAACAACCCTCTTCTCTGAGTGCTTCCTGCTTTCTTACTCACTGAGAAACTTCTTTTTAAAAATTGACAGTCTACTTTCATTCTTCTGCACATGGTTGTCAGTTTTCCCATTACCATTTTTTTGAAGAGACTTTCCTCTCTCTATTGTATTATTTTGGCTCCTTTTTCAAAGATTAGCTGTTCATTATCTTATGTCATGCACAGAGATTAACTCAGATTGAATTAAACACTTGAACATAGACCAGAAACCATAAATTCCTAGAGGAAAATATAGTCAGTATTCTCTTTGACATCAGTGTTAGCAGTATGTTTTTGAATATCATGTCTACTCAAGCAAGGGAAACAAAAGAAAACATAAACAAGTGGAACTACATCAGACTAAAAATCTTCTGCAAGGCAAAGGAAACCTTGTACAAAATGAAAAGATGACCCGTCAACTGAGAGAAAATATTTGCAAATCATATCTGACAAAAAGTTAATTTCCAAGTTATGTAAAGAACTCATACAACTCAATAGCAAAAAAAATGAGCAAATTGATCAAAAATAGGCAGAGGATATGAACAGACGTTTTTCCAAAGTATGTATACAGATGGCCAACAGATACATGATAAGACATTTGACATCACTAAATATTAGAGAAATGCAAATCAAAACTACAGTGAGATGTCACTTCACACCCATTGGAATGGCTATAATTGACAAGATAAGAAGTAAGTGTTGGAGAGGATGTAGAGGAAAGGGAACCCTCATACACTACTGGTGAGAATGCAAACTGGTACAACCACTATGGAAAACACTATGTAGATTTCTCAAAAAATTAAAAATACAAATACCATGTGATCCAGCTGTTCCACAACTGGATATTTATACAAAGAACATGAAATCAATCATTCAAAAAAATTTATGCACCTCTATGTACGTTGCAGCATTATTCAC